GGAAGAATACAGAATTATATATTCAAAACTGAAATCATAAATATGACTATTTGCAATATAAAATTAATAAGAATCAGTTAGGGAATGGAAAGAAGAGTATGACATGCATCCAGTCAGAAAGCAAATGTAATTTAGATTTTGAGTTCTATGCCTTTTATCCATATATTTAATCACAGAAAATTTAGAGAATAAGTCCCAGATCCTCACAACTATTAAATGCCTAACTTCTTTTGATTCCAATAGCATTAGGTATCGAATACCTTTAAGAATCTGAACCCATGATTAGTAATTACATTTCTATACAATTTCTAGTTAATTTAGTTACCATTAAATTATTCAGCAAATAATTTAAATGAACACATTTGGGTAATAGTGACCTTCTCAGAAGGTATGTTTACACGTGCATTTACTGTGCAGTAACTTACTATACAGCAAGCGGTTTTTAAACAACCGTCTACACGTGTAGGTGTTACAGCACAGTAACATTGTGTGTGCACCAACTTGGGAGTAAAGTTACTCCCAAGTCAGTCCATACAAACAGGGTTACAGTGCAGTAAGGTGTCTACACATGCCTTACTGTGCAGTAACTACCCAGGAGTAAATTTGCTACCTGCATCATGCTATTTCCCAAGCCAGCATAAGTCACCATAGTTATTGCACAGTATGGGCATGCACATGTAGACACATGCCCATACTGTGCAGTAATTTTCAGTTATGGCACCTAAGTTATTGCACAGTAACGGTGCATGTGTAGACATGCCCAGAGAGAATTTAAAAACAAGATAGGAGGCTGTTTGTCATCTAAATTATTTGCTAGGAATGAACTCAGAAGCAGCAATACTAGAGCAACACTATTGGAAACAATTGTGAATTCTAAAGACTTAGTCCCCATTTCTTATAACCCACTTGTATTGACTTTCTAGAGCAGGAGTCTTTCTGGAGCCCAGATCATGCCTCCTTCCAGATCATTCTCTCTTGAAGAAGGGATGATACTTCCAGAGTTCAACAGCATCTTTTTTGGTGCATTTGTTTTCATAATTCTCACAGAGTAAAAAAAGCAAGGCAATGGTCCCAATACAAGACTGGGATGAATTGCTTAGTTTCTATTTTTCACTGGTATGGATTTCCATTGTGGCCTCTGACAAGAGAAACTTAACCTCTCTGCATCATGCTTCTATGATATTGTACCATAGGGAATGTGATTATGGAAGTACTCATTGCAAATCTGTTGTTAAGACAGGTTTGAGTTTCTTACTCAAGACAGGGGTTAAATCTTAATCACGTATGAATACTGTGCATTCACTTACATTACTGTGCATGAATGTACAGTAGTCTTGCATTCTGCAAGACTTAATTGTTTGTAAAAGCACTTTGAAGATTAAAAGCATTTTGCATACATATAATTATTATTAAATGTCAAATCAAACTAAACCACTAATCAAACATGGTCATAGTGACAATGTTACCTCCCAGGCTGAAGGTAATGAATATAAGCCTAGATAGATTTTCATCTCAGATTGTGCCACAAAGGCACTGACCTATAATAGGGACATCATAAAGGTTTTCTATATAGAAAAGTGCATATAGAAAGTGTGCAGCAGGCCATTACTATGACCAGCTAAATCTTCTGGTCAAAGAAAAAAGATAGCGGCATGGCCCTGCCACCTTTCAGGTGGCTAATTATTCACCCCTCAACTCTCCTCCTGCCCCCAAGTTGGACTTTGTATGGCTCCTTGCATTATTACATGGCTCCATTTTATTATCTATATATCTTTGATAGTCTATATTCAGAATCAAAATCTGATTTTGCTATATTACACCGCAGAAAAGATCCCCTGGAACTCAAGTCGAGTAGACTTGTTAAAAACAAACCTTACAATAAGTCTATGGAAATGTTTCTTATCATTGTTTTCAGGTTGCATAAATAGTCTCTTTAACAATTGTGAAGGATCCTTATAATACAACCTGATCCAAAACCAGGCACAGAAGATTAAAGCATTAGCATGGAATAGCCATCTGTAGATTATTACTATTATTTATGAAGGCTAGAAATGAATTACTAACTGGGAATGAAATTCCTTCCATAGCAACACTGAACTAGAAGAAAATCTGCTAGGGACTGAACCACTCACAGGAGTGAAGGCATTGTTTTCTAAGTCACTGATCCTGTACAAGCATCTTGCCTTGTTTTAGTATAAGGAACTACAAAACAGCTGAAGATTTCCCAAACATGCATCCCTGATTCCTATATGTAACAATGTCAACAAAGGTTTCAAGTGAATGCTACATTTCAAAACTTTTCCTAAGCTGTTTCTGTCTAGACAAAGGTTTTTTTCAAAGCTTCTAAAGTGCATCATTATCAGACATTGAAAACAGGGGATGACCCTACTTGTCACCCTGGGAATTAAAGTTTCAATAAAAGCATTGACCAGAAGAATTCTCTCTGTGTGGAGCAATTACTATTTACAAGAAACACAAGTGTGGATATCCCTGGGCAAATAGCTCAACAGCTCTACCAAACTTATGCACACCAAATGGATTCACTCTAATCTTTCTATCAAACATGGGGGGAAAAGTTTGAAATCCTTTCTCCTCTTCCCATTAAAATTACAAACCTGTTTGCTCTGCGATAATATCACCATTTAAAGATGTATAATCCTGGCCATGGGATACTTTTAATCCTCTAATAGCTATTTAACTGATTTCTTCAGTACAAGCCCATCTGTATTCCTTTCATGTTATATTACTCAGTGTCAATAAATGGCCAAAGAAAAACAGAAGGCACTATAGGGAAAGTACTGTTTAGATAGTAAAGCAATCAAAGCTGGTTTATCTCATTGGCACAAGTGAACAGGGAACATATGCTTTAAAAAGAACTCCTTTTTCCCCCTTCTCTGAAAACTTGTGTCACCAGGAAATATGGGGAGGAGAAAGGACACACACAAAAAAATTAATGAGCTAGATTCTTGGTGGTCTGATTAGTGCAGTCTCCAGTGAAGTCAAGAGCGATTTGACCTCTTGGGGACCTAAGGGTTAAAGCAACAGCAATGCCTATAGCCAACAGCATGCAAGAAAGCGATATGGTCTATTGTATTCAGCTACCTTTGATTCTCCAGTCTGAATGACCAGGTGCCCATTTACAGCTAAGGGTGGCCTTTGCCCTCACCCTGTTGCCTTCAGTGGGTACATTTACATGAGATGCTGAAGGCAAAGTAGACTAATTCTACTGTGCATTAGCGTGGCAGGAAAAAACTGTGCTAGTGCACAGTAGAATAAGTCTACTGCATATTAGTGTCACAAAAGTGTGTGTCGGTGCTACTGTATGGAGGTGCTACTGCATGGTAGTGCCGCTTACAGTGCATTGTTAGTACCTGTAATTACAGGTACTAAAGTTAATGCACTGTAAATACAGAGCATTAATGAACATGTAGACTTACCCAGTCAGGAGTGCTATGGCAGAGCCATTTAGCTATTTTCCTGTGGCTTTAGAGGCACAAGTTTGATCCCTATTCTGGTCATGTGCCAATTATACTACCTGAGGACTTGGCCCCAGTCTTCC